TGCTGAATCTCTGGGCCTCCGTCCCTTTGAAAAGGGAACCGAAATCCCTACTTGGGGGTGGGCTGGGAAAGCAGCTATGCAGTCAAGCACCCAGCTGGGACCCGACAGGACCCCCTCAATCGCTGGTGACTGTGGCCCACATGGTTCTGGAAAGGAGGGTTTATCTTCCGCATGTGCTCCATGTCCCCAAAACGGTGGGAACCTTTTAGAAAACCTGGGGACAAACATGTCACTGCAAAAAGTCTAGGAAGAAGAATAGTCAGTTGCCCCCTCTTGGGTTCCTCAAATGATGGTGCTGCTGGGAGCCTGTGGTGCTGGGGGGGGCTGCTGTGGGGTGACCGGTCCCCCAGAACCTCGTCTCCTCCCCATCATGCTTGTCCCTCTGCAGCTGCTCTCACCCCAGGGACTTCCATTGAGCTCCTCAGACATCAAAGTGAGCCTCTCAAAGTGAGCCTCGAATATCAAGGAGGCCACCCAGTGCAGGTTGTAAAGAAACCCCTCTCCGTGGCTACAAACACTACAGAAAGCAGCCAAACACACAGGGCACAGCGTCCTTCACCTTGGCAAACAGGCCTGTTGTGTAAAAGGTTCCTGGGAGAGTCCACGCTTGGCTCAGGCACTAGAAAACAGGGACATGCGGCATGTGTGAAACATTCCCATGGAAAACTCCAAAAGCAGGGGGAACCTTAGAGCACCACACTCACTACCACTGAGTGTCTGGGCCCTGGGCTTTGTGCCTGCCCACAGCCACCCACAAGGAAGGCTTGGGTGTGATCAGTGGGCCCCTGGAGGCCGAGTAGAAGAGCCCAAGAGGGAAGGATGTCCAGAGACCCAGAGCGCACCGGGGTGTGGGTGGGCCCAGGCTCGGTGGGCGCTTGGCCACAAAGAGGCTCATCAGTGAAAACCCTACCCAGGAGTCTTTGCAACTGGCAGCAACGGGATGAGGTGGGGAGGCAGTGGACAAGGGGCCACCAAGTTCACTTGAGAAGGCCCTAGCAGATCAGGAGGAGGCATGGGGACTTGGTCTTATGGCCTGGGACCCCTGAGGTTTCAGAGGGACGAGGCAATTAGCGGTCCAGGCCCCCGGGCAGCACGATGATAAAATCTCTCAGGATAAGGAGCGCTATGTCCCCTCACTGAAAACAATGCCATGTGCTCTGGGGAAGGCAATCCCCCTCTCAGTCACAAAACTGGTTCTGATGTATTTTAAGATTGACGTCACAGAGCTGTTCGACTTCTAGGGTACAGCTGCTACCAGAGACAGCCCAGCTACTTAAATCAGCCTAAGTTAAAGTAAATCAGAACAAAACCCTCCTGGGGATGGGTGGGAAGGCGCCAGTGCAGAACCCACGGAGGTGAACAGGCCGGGACCCCAACTTACTGCCACACCCTGCGATTGGCGTACACATTTGTTGGACACGGACAGGTCTGTGTCGGCGGGGGCTGCGTTACGGGCTGCTGGAAGCCGCTGACCTTTCTCAACACCCGCTCCTCCCACAAAGGATTCCAAGTATGGCTCAGGCACAGCGTTTGGCAGTCAGGCAGACTTGGGTCCCCATGGTCCTTGGGCCATCCCAGCTGCGACCCTGGCAAGCCCCGAGCGGCAGTGGCTTCCCGTGGTAAAGGGGAGGCACAGCGCCCTCCACCCCAGACTGTCAGGGGGACCACACAAGACAGTGAGAGGCAAGCACGGATACTGAGCACAGAACAGGCAGCCGAGAGCAGCCTCACCTGCCCAGAAATACAGGGAATATCGTCAATCATGTCGTAACAATGTTGTTTGGTGACTGCTGGCGGCTCCATTCCTACTGTGCTGAGCACCGAGTAATGTACAGAACTGCTGAACCAACAGGCTGTCCCCCTGAAACTAATATAAGGTTGTGTTAATTCTATCTCAAAAGAATTCCAGAACTTAAAGAAATAAATGTGTGTATGTATGCATATGGTGCTGTCACGGGTCTATCCTGCACCTAGCACTGGGCCAAGAACTTGACATACATACATCATGAACTATCAGAGCACCTGCCCTGCACCCCCTTCCTTACCCTCTCCGTCCTTTCAGGTGCTCTAGTCCGACACGGGGAGCCGTTCTTTACTTCCTCTTCTCCCGGCCCCCACAACACTCCCTCATCAGCAGGCCCTCTCGGTCCTACTTCCAAAACATCTCTTTCATTCACTTCCTTCCCAACACCTCCCTGGTCCTTGCCCCACCATCTCTTTCTGGACTATACAATGGTCTCCGAACTGCTTCCTCTCCTGCCGAGAGCATCTGGACGTTGCCCATTTTGCAACTAGAGAGATCTTAAAATACTTGTAAATTGGGGGGGGGGTACCTTTTTTCCGGCTTTACTGACATATAATTGACAGAGTACTTGCCATTCAAAATCTCAAGTGGGAGATAGGTTCACACGGCTCAAAAAAACATTAAAAAAAAGCTAATACACAAAGCCGTACAGTGAAGCAGCAACCACCCAGCGCTCCCCAGTTGTCCGTCCCCAGCTCTTCAAACAGTGAACTCTTCCCTCCGCTTCCTTAAGCAAACATAGCAGCAGGAACACTGGCCTGCATTTCTGCCTTTTCCACCCAAAAGACAGCCACCACACAGCCGGTTCTGTGCTTTGCTGTCTTCCCTGACGATGCGTCTATGTGACAGGCACACTTGTTCCCTTCGTGCTCCGTGGTACTCCCTTGCATAGATGGATGGACCATGATACTCCCCTATCAGTGGATATCTGAGTTCTTTCCAGTGTTTTCCTATTTCAAAACTTATTTTCATGAATGACCTTGCACTGAGGTCCTTTCTCATGCACGAGGCAAGGCAATTTCCAGAAGTGGGACTGGTGAGAGAGAAAGCCGAACGGATCTTCCACAAGCAACGTAGGATAGGGTCTGTTTCCACAAACACTCACCTAGAGAATGTATGCTCAAAGTTGTGCTTTTTTTTTTTTTAAAGATTTTATTTATTTATTTGACAGACAGAGACACAGCGACAGAGGGAACACGAGCAGGGGTAGTGGGAGAGGGAGAAGCAGGCTTCGTGCTGAGCAGGGAGTCTGATGCAGGACTGGACCCCAGGATCCTGGGATCATGATCTGAGCAGAAGGCAGATGCTTAATGACTGAGCCACCCAGGAACCCCTCAAAGTTGTGCATTTTTGCCGGTTTCCTCATATTGATGAAAAAAGGTACCTTGGCACAGTTTCGATTTGCATTTCTCTTATCTAAGTAAGGCTGAACATCTTTCCTGTGCTTAGGGGTCATTTGCTTTTTCTTCCTTGTGAACTGTTTATATCTTTTGTGCATTTTTTATTAGGCTGTCGATTTTTTTTTTTCTGTTGATTTCTAGATTGTGGGGCATAATTATAAAGGTCCTCTGCTCCAAGATTTCAAAGGAAATCTCTGTGTTTGGCACTTATACAGCTTCACCTTTTACATTTCAAGTTATTTAAAACATACATCAGATCACACGGCGCTCCTGCCTGAAATCTTCAGTGACTCCCCACTGCACTCAGGATAAAATCCAGGGACCTCTCCGCGGCAGGTTCCTGCTCTAGCCATGCTCCCTCTCTTTGGTTCCCGGAACATGAATGTGCCAAGCTCTCTTCCGCTGCTAGGCCTTTGCAGCTGCTGTTCCCTCTAGCCGAAATGCACTTCCTTGCCCCTAGTCCAGACGGCCCTTCATACCCTCTGGTTGGGTCCAATGCCCTCTCTGTCCAACCTCCCCTCTGGCCCTTTTTCAGCCAATCTTACATTTACTTGTCTGCATCCATTTCCCTCCCAGACATGAGCCCCATGAAGACTTGTCTGCCTCAGTCATGGCCTTGAAACTGTGGCCTCGTGCTTCCCCACACTAGGTACACATAACCCCAAAACACAGCCAGTGCCCTCTGCTGCACTCCCATAATGTTCTTGGCTTCATAAGATGCTGACCCATATATGTACTGATATGATCTATATAAACTGATATGATCCTAGCTGGCAATAAAAATGATGAACTAACAACAAAAAAAAAAGATACCAATGCAAAATGTTCTTGTTTGTGACAGAGTTCATCTGAAGCCTTAGGGTAAATAGGAACTAAGGCAAAGGGTAGAACTTAAACCTGGACTTCAGGAAATGAGGCTCCCGGGGCCCTCAGGAGTCTCCTAGGTCAGGGCTGCCCTTCACATGTTCTCCTTGCGGCCATGGCCCCCTTTTCTGAGTTCCTGGTCTCTCAAATACCTCCAACTTTGCTACACAGGACAGTTTGGCTCCTGTACAGACCAGTGGGATAGGCTCCCTGAGAAGGACCAAGAGGCTCACTTAATTGCCAGCTACAGGTAGGTAAACTGAATCCTAGTGAGATCAGGCCACTAACCCAGGGTCCTCCCACCAGTGAGTCTAGGAAGCCAAGTTCTGGGCAATTAGCCCTTGCTGGCTGCCCATCAAAATCATGGCAGCACTGGCCTGTCGTGCCAATGGCAATTACAAAGCGGAGAGTCCAATGGTGCCAACCGTGGTCCTTGCGTGGTCTTCTGTGCACGAGATTTGGTGGGAAAGATGCCCTCCTACTCCCCTCCCCCCCCCAACAAATGATACCAGCACATACTTCAAAGTTTTCTGGTAACTACATTAGCAAAAGTAAAAAACAGGTGGAATCTAATATATCTTATTTAACCTAATCAATTATTATTACTTCAACATGTTATCCCCACAAAGCAAGGTCTTTCCGTTTTTGTCACTAAGTCTTGGAAATCCGTGTGGACGGTGCCCTTACAGCGCACTGCAATTCTGCCCAGCCCTATCCCAGGCGCTCAGCCGCCGCAGGAAGTCAGGGGCTGCCGGGTCAGGCAAGGAAGTTGGAGGTTGGGGCGGCCGGGTCCAGCCAGGGTCAGGGGGAGTCCCAGTGCGAGGGGCGGAGCCAGAGCTGCATCCCCGCCCCCGGCAGCGGCCAGAAAACGCAGGTGGGACCGGCTGAGCGCTGAGCCTCGCGCCCACCGCGGCCGGGGGGGACGCACTCACCTCGCTACCGCCTCCACGGAGCCGGGGATCGGCACGCCGCCGTCCTCACTGCCATCGTACAGCACGCCAGAGATGTCGAGCAGCACCCCGCGCACGCCCGCCAGCCGCTCGCCCCACGAGGCCATCGCGCTCTGCAGTGCACCTCAGTCTCCGCGCGTCCCAGCCTCCGGCGGGAAAGTGCGTCTGGGCTCGCCGCGCAGGGGCGCCTGGGAAGTGTAGTCCTGGGCTGTGCAGTCCGGCGGGGCGGGGCCCGCGCGGCAGGCCGGGTGCAAACCCGGCTCCTAGGGGCGCAAACCGGGATTCCCGGGTGCCGCCTCCCCGTTCCCGGGTCACACGCCCCCGAAATGGCAGCCATCTCCCCAGGAGAGCTCAGTAGACAAGAGGCAGGAAAAACAAAACATTAAGCCCCTAGGAAGTAGTCAGTCTCCCTAAAAACCAAAACAAGGCAAATCAAGATAAGGAGGCACCTGTAGAGGTAGCAAGCATTAAAGAGATCAGTACTTCATTGGTGTCCTCATCTTTTTGCTGAGTGTGACGGCCCTAAAAGCAATGGAGATAGTTGGACCAATTGGCCTGATAATCCCGCGCCTCGGAAGTGATGCTAGGGAAGTGATTCCAAAGACGGTGAGGGCAGTGTAAGGTATCACGCCAGAAAAAGCCGGAAGAAAAGTCACTGTACAAACAAGTATAACATGGCTGCAGAAAGAAATATTATGCCACCAAAAATGAAAACTAGGTAACAACATGGAAACTGCTTGTGTCACAACATATGAGAAAGCAGAGCACAAAACTAGTAAATTTTACATTACCCTGCAAAATTAAGGATGGTAGGAATAGAGCTGGGAAGAAAATGGAAACATTGCAGTGTGTTAGGCCAGTGACATTTTGGATGAATTGTTACAATCCATTTAATGTTACCTCATTTTTGCAATAAATAGAAGTTGATAGGAAAAGGGAAGTTTCCTTGACTGCCCCTCTGGCCTTTCCAAGTGTTGAAACTTGAGGGGTGCCTGGGTGGCTCAGTCAGTTAGGCATCTGCATTTGGCTCAGGTCATGACCCTGGGGTTCTGGGATGGAGCCCCTCCTGGGGCTTCCTGCTCAGCGGGGGCCTGCTTGTGTCTCTCCCTCTGCTCCTCCCCATGCACATTTGTGCTCCTGCTCACTAGCTTTCTTTCTCTCAAATAATAAATAAATAAGAATCTTTAAATTAAAAAAAGAAAGAAAGACATTTGAAAAAAATCAGATTCCTCCAGGCCTGACTTTTCTTTAAGGCATCAAAACAAGACCATTTTAGGGGCGCCTGGGTGGCTCAGTGGGTTAAAGCCTCTGCCTTCCGCTTGGTTTGTGATCCCAGGGTTCTGGGATTGAGCCCCACATCGGGCTCTCTGCTCAGCAGGGAGCCTGCTTCCCCCTCTCCCACTCCCCCTGCTTGTGTTTCTTCTCTTGCTGTATCTCTGTCAAATAAATAAAATCTTTTTTTTTTTAAATGGCCATTTTAGGTTCTTCAGCCACAGACAGGATATAGAATTCATCAGAATCTTAGAATTTTAACTCAGTTCAATAAATTATGCATATTGTGTTGCTAAGTTTACTGGGGAACTATGTACTCTTGATTTTATAGGAGGGATGTAAAATGTAGTTCCTGCCCTTTGGGAATTTACAATCTGACTGAGGGAGAAAAGAATATTAGACCTAAAAAAAAAAAAAAATTAGCCATGGGTCTTAGCTGCAAAAATAGAAACCGCACCAACTAAAGGGTTATGTTTACCCCAGGCAATGAGAAGCTTACAGATGTCCACGGGAACAGGAGAACCAAGCTCAAGTACCATGCAGCTCTGAGAAATGCCCAATAGCATTGTTTCACTGGGGTACTTGGCTTCCAAGTCACCAGGGACCTGACAGTACAGGTCCCCCAAAACCAAATCCACCCACCACTGTGCTCCTGAAGGATTCTCTCCACCTGTGGCTACCACTTGCCTTGCTTTCACCATGTCCAGCTTGGTGGAACCTAGTCCAAACTGCCAGGGACTCTGGGAAATGCAGTTTTTAGCTGTCCAGATTCTGTGGTACAGGAGCCGAGTGAGTCAACCTGGATAATCTGCCATGAACGCCGTGCTCTGTACACACGTATTGGACTGTCCGCTCTGTGGGCTCAGGGGTCCAGGAATGCAAAAAGTCTAGGGTGTGATCTTTGCCTTGGAGTCAAGACTGCAGAAAACAAGATGTACACTTTGAAGATTGCTGACCGAATGTGTGCCAAGTGCCAATGAGTGACATAGACATAGCCAAGAGGATGGGCTTTGTTAACCACAGAGGGCAGCGATGGTTTCTGAGCTGAGGGACAGCCTGAAATGGACCTTGAAGAATGACTGGCCTGCAGCTTCCAGCCAGGGAGGAGAAGCAAAGGCATTTCTGTCAGTGGTGGGGAGCCTACCCATGGTTCTCCCTCTTCTACTGGCCATGTATGACCTTGGGCAAATCACTTTCTATATCTAGGATTATGGTAGACAAAACAATGCTCCTAGAACGTGTCCACATCCTTTTCTCTGGAGCCCGTGAATGTACTACCTTACCTGGTACAAGTAACTTTGCAAGTGGAATTAAGCTGAGGATCTTGACATGGGCGGTTATCCTAGATGATCCAAATAGTCTCTGTGTAATCACGAGAGTCCTTAGAGGGAAAGAGGGAGACAGGAAAGTCAGGGTCAGAGAAGGGGACATGACAACAGAAGCGGAGCTGAGAGAGAAAGAGGGAGGGAGGAAGAGAGAGAGATTAAAAAATGCTGCACAGCTGGCCTTGAATTTGAAGGGGGCTGTGAGCCAAGAAATGCAGGCAGCCGTTAGAAGCTGGAAAAGCAAAAGAAATGGATTCTCCTCTGAAGCCTCCAGAAGGAATTCAGCCCCCGACCCCTTGATTTTAGGGTTTTTTGCCTCTAGAACTGTAAGATAATAAAGTTGTGTTGCTTTAAACTACTACATTTGTGGCAATTTGTTACAGTAGCAATAGGAAGTGAATCCAGGGACTCAGGTTCCTCATCTGAAGAATGACATTGGTCCAAGGTGAAACATGGTATTGTGAGCCACTAATGGACTTGGACTTAGCCCAAAAGTCTGTGACCTTTGCTTGGATATAACAGGTGAAAGACATTACATAAATTAGAGTTGCATTTGGCTGCATGAATCAGAAACCCAACTATAGTTGCTCAATAAAACTGAGATAATTTTCTCGTGTATCAGGAGGTCAAGAGGGAGGCAGGCCTGGACAGGTACCATAGCTTCCAGAGATATCAGGAAATAAACTCCTTCCATCTCCAGCTCTTCCATCACTAACATGAGGCTTTCACACTCATGATCTCCAGGTGCCTACTGCATCCCTAAAACATTGTATCTGCATCTCGGGCAAGAAGAAGGGGAAGGAAAAGGACAAAGGACGCGTGGCAGCTGAGTCTTGCCCTTGCACCAGGAAAACAGAAGCTTCCCCCAAATCTTGATCCAATAGATTTTTGTTTATATCTTTTGGGCCAGAGCAAGTTCAGTTAGCACTCTCATGTGCGGAGCTTTGGGCCTATTATATTTCCGATTATAAGTCTATAAATCACGTCTGAATTTCCACTCCAATGTGAATCCATTCAATCTTCTATTGGTATAGACGTCGTATAATCCTTCTAGATTTGCTTGTATTAGCTAAGACTCTTTCATCACCGGTAACAGAAGCCCAATCTCACACGGCTTAACTTTCCAGGGAATGTTTTGGCTCCCGTAACCGATAGTTCAGCAATTGATGGCTTCAGGCATGACTGGTTCCAAGGCTTAAATGGTGGTGTTCCAGGCTCTCTGACTCTCCATTTCTTAGCTCCGCCCCATCTGTGTGTTGACTTCCTTCCTTCCTGCTTTCTCCAGGCAGCTGGGAGAGAGAGCTGTGTCAGGCCAACAGAGTCCCAGGTAAACCACATGGGGAGGAACCTATTCCACAACTTGGTCTGACAGTTCCAGAAAGAACTCTGGCCCTCTTGTATCAGAGCCCCCAAATTCCTCATGTCTGTGTTTGGAGGGAAGTGGTACTCTGATGATCCAGGCTGACCCAGGTGCCCTATCACGGCTGGTATTCACTGTCTTACCACACATGGAATTTGGGAGGGCCTCCCAGGAAAAAGCAGGGCACTATTACAAGAGCACTAAGGTCAAAAAGTTTGTGTCCTCAAAAATATTCATATGCTGAAAATGGGTGGCTCAGTTGGTTAAGCAACTGACTTCAGCTCAGGTCATGATCCTGGAGTTGTGGGATCGAGTTCCGCACCAGACTCCCTGCTCAGCAGTGAGTCTGTTTCTCCCTCTGACCTCTCCCCTCTCATATTCTCTCTCTCTCTCATTCTCTATCTCATTAGAAACAAAAACAAAAACAAAAAACAAAACAACCCAGGGAGCTTGCTCATCCTTCCACTCCGTGACAGCATTGCAGGAAATTGGGCAGTCTGCAACCTGGAAGAAGTTGGACCACACCCGACTGCACTGGTACCCTGATCTTGAACTCCCAGCCTTCAGAATTGGGAGCATTAGGTTTCTGTTGTGGAGAAGCCACCCAGTCTGCTACATTTTGTTTAAGTAGTCCAAGTGGATAAGAAAAAGAAGGAAGAGACACTGTGTAGGCAAAATTACAGTCCCCCACAAGAGCACTCTATTCGTATCAAAGTTTGTGTGCCCTGGAAAGTGAAACCAAACCAAGTGAGGTCTGGGTGGGCCAAGGGGGTCTTCTGTATTACTGAGGTGGGCCATAGTAGAAAAGAAAGTAAGGAGCCATCAGTCCAAAAGTGCCTTTCAAACTTCTATGTGCATTAAAAAAAGAGGCTTACTCAAACCAAGTTTTGGTTCAGGAGGTCTAGGATGGGCTTGAGAACCTGCATTTCCTACAGGCTCCCAAGCAATGCTGCTGGTCTCCAGATCGAGATCACCGTTTCTCAAACTTTACGATACGTGTGAATTTCCTGGGGGAACGTACTAAAATCTATATTCTGATTCAGGGGGTCGGGGGTGAAAAGAGATTCTGCATTTCTTTTCCTTTTCCTTTTTTTTTTAAATTTTATTTTTAAGTAATCTCTACACCCAATGTGGGGCTCAAATTTACAACCCCAAGTTCAAGAGTTGTGTGGTCTTCCAACTGAGCCAGCTGGGTAGCCT